ACGGTCGCGCTACTCGCGGTCGTACGCGGACAGCCGGGCGCGGGAGAGCTCGGACTCGGAGGACGAGTACAGGAGGACACATTCCAGGTCCAGCGACTCCCGGCGAACGTCCTCCCATTCCTCCTCCTCCTACAGAGACTCGAGATCCTCTTACTCCAAGTCGGACAGGGACAGCAAAGCGGAGTCGTCCCACGCCGACGTGGACAGGCGAGGGAGGTCGTCTTCGAAAGCGGATCGAGATTCCAAAAGGACTTCTGAAAGTGAAGTGTCCAAAAGGTGCTCTCCCCTCGGTGAACTGGGCTATCGGAAGGGGACATCCCATTCCAAGCCCGACAGTAATGTGAATTCCTCCCGCTATAAATCCACCCCTTCCAAGGCCTCCGCACCAAAGCCTGATAAATTTAAGAGTTCTTTCTGTTGTACAGAATCGATTGAAGAAATCAAGTCCAAGTCTAATTCTCTAGATTTAGAGACCTCTTGTGTAAAGAACAATGAGATCAGGGTGTCCAGTGTGAAAAAGTTGGAAAGGGAAAAGACACTTTCTCCGTTAAATCAATTCAGCGATTCTCCCGCTTTGCCGAAGGCTGACGACTCCAAGGCGGGTTTGGCAAACTCTAAATCCGAGGAACTTGCAGCAAATGAAGGCCACGACAGTGTTAAGGAGCAAGAAACGTTCTTAAAGGCAAAGCACGATCCCTTGGGAGCGTGTTTCCCCACGGAATCGAGCGTGAACGGCTCCCCAGAGGGTCAGGACGAGGGTCCGGCACCCTCCAGTGCCTGCAGAGCAGAGGATGAGCCCGGCCCGGGTCCGTCGGAAGCATCGCCTGCCGTCAAGACCAGCCCGTCATATCCGTTGCCATCCAATGGGTTTGAGAGCATGGACGTGTCCCAGGAGCAAGGGCTGGATGATTCCCGGGTGCAGTCCAGCGAGTGCAACAGCCTGTTCCTGTTCCCGGAGGCTCCGGAGCCGCAGCAGCCGGAGGGAGCCGCCCCTCTCCCTGCCCTGAATGTAGATGCCACTAACACTGTCCTTCAGAAGCTGGATGAGGAGGTGGCTCCGTGTGACAAAACCAAAGAACCTGTTTTTTGCTACATTTCCGACGATGCCACCCCTGGTTTGTACCACTCGGAAGTGGAAATCGAAGCGGAACCCGCGGATTTGAAGGTGACATCCGAGGCTTTCCTGGACGTGCAGGTGGAGCCGCAGACGGTGACGTGCGATTACGAGAGCGCGGAGGATTCCCATTCCAAGGCTGCTGGGGAGGATGAGCACGGCCATCCTTCCCATAAAATCAGCCTGGCAGCAGAAAGCTCGAGCAGGGATTCCTCCCAGGATGGCTGTTCCCAGAGGCTCCACTCGGATCCTCCCATGCCGGAGGAAAGCGTCTCTTCCAAATGGGACGTGCCCCCGCCGGGTGTGTGCCAGGAGCCGCTCCAGCATTCGGAAGCTGAGGAGATGCTGGAGTTGGATGCTCAGCACGTTGATGTTGGCTCAGCAAGAGGCAAGTCGTCTTTCCAGAATGAACATTCCTACTATTCGGAAGTGCCGCTGGAGCGCCGCGGCAGAGAGGTCGTGGAAGAAAGCGCTGTTTCCACCGAGGGAGCTGAGCTGGATGAGCTGAGGGTTCAATGTCCCGGCGTATCGGCCGAGAGGGATGAGGGAAGCGAGCCCTTGGTGGCCTCGGCTTTTCCAGACGCTTTGTATCCCTCCTCCGATGTCATTGTCACCGCAGAGGACACAGAGATGGTGACCCAAGCCCCAACGTGCGACAGCAGCGGCAACGCCTCGGAATTCATTCCCGCTGGCCACGACGATTATTCCGACACGGGGGACAGTGACAGCGAGGGGGGCAGCGAGGACAGCGACACGGAGGACTCGGATTCCGATGATGGGACGCCGCCGAAGAAGCTCCAGTCGGTCGTGGTGGTTCCCAAGAACTCCACCATAGCCATGGAGGAGAGCAGCCCGGGCTCCTCCCGCAGCAACCGGCGCTTCTCCGACCACTGGGATGACGAGCGGCCCGAGCCCAGCAGGACCTACTATGAGGAGAGGTCGGAAAATCTGGGGAGTAAAGGTGGTCCCCACGTGGAGAGCAGGTGTTCTCCCAGAGGGATGGAGAAGAGTCCGGCAACCTCCACGGAGCTGAGCAGGAAGGAGCCGGAGGAGCTGCGGGCGGATCCGTGCCAGGCCCAGA